CTTGGAAGCTTGTTTATGCGCCTTATAAAGTTATTGAAAAAGAATCAATTTTGCTACGCCATAATATTGAGTAGGCGCGGCCAATTTTTTTTTCGTGTAGTGCAGCGGGCGTGTCCTTCAATCAATTTGGCCGGCGATAGCTTCATTTTTGCGCCCAGGAGAATGTTTACAACAGACATTACATAGACAGATGGACGGACATGCTTAGATCAGTTTATAATTTCATACTAATCAAGGATGTATGTGCTTTGTGGGATCACCGATGCATCCGTTGGAGCGTTGCAAACGTGTTGACAAAATGAATATACCTCTCGTCCTTGGGTGATGGATATAAAAGTCGAGAGAATTCAGTCAAGCAACGAAAACGAGCATCGTCAAGATAAAATTGCAGTTAATTAGCAAAAGCACAAACCAACAATTTTAGCAGAGGTCTTCCTTGAAGCTTTTAAGACAAATGCATTAAACGATATCCTGAAAGAGTTGAAATAAATAAATGTAAACAAGATACTACAAGTATTCCGGAATTTTGCACAAAAAAATACTAACAAACAATATTTGAAACAAAAAAAAATTGTTCTTTGATTAAAAAAGTGAAAATTTACTTGACTAGTATGGCTAAATAGATTGAACACAGCGTGAAGCTCCGTCCTCCTCCGATCGATATGCTTTCGACTATACCATATATATATATATATATATATATATATAAGTAATAGTTTCTCTTCGCGAAAATTTTGAAAAGTTGCTCTATATGGAGCGCAATATAAGTGAGAAAGAGCACGTAATTAGACTTGTTTGGTTTTTTAAACATAAGAACTAACATTGAATACACTTTTCAATTCAATTCTATTCTCAATTTTGCTATAAATTAGTTTTCCGCAATTAAAGTTAAATTATTTAATAAAAGCAATTATTTATTGAATGTAATGACTACGAAGCTCATCATGCCTAGGCCGTGACTAAAAGCATACTATTCAAGGACTGATGCTGCAGTCATTTTATTTTTTCACAGTACTAGATATTTACTCGTAAATGCCAACTAAACTTGCGAACAAATATTTTTTCTCTCTTTCAAAATTGAATCGATTAACCTAAAACTTACGTTTTGCTTATAAAATTTTTTTTAAAAAAATCCCGAATCTTGTGTATTTTATTTATATGTTGACTTGAATTGTTCCGCGACTTTTTTTTTCGAGGGCACGGGGAACGGAGTGTTTGTTAATATTTGTAGTTTGTGGTCGGAAAAGTCATTTAGGGAAGAGGGGACACAAATGTTTCCATAAAAGTTCGGATGTAAACCGAAAATAAAGCAAAGTAACGGCCTAATGAATCAGTGAGAGATGAAGGCCGCATAGCGCAGAAAAAAGTATTTTCGATTTACGAGTTTCTTGAGTACGAAAGATGGCCAAATTAGTAAATTTTCCAACCCTTCGTGGCAAAATGCTATAACCGTTATGGTTATCATGCTATGTTTGACTTTTGCATATTTTACAATCTGAAAAGGTCAATGCACCACACATAGCACACATCTGTTAATATTAGAAAAATTGAAAAGGGTGTGAATAGCAGAATGAATTCAAGAAAATGTAGCGCCACAAAGAGATTATGCCTCAATGTTTGGCAAAAGGATAGTACTGCAAAAGTTCTATAACACGTGGAAGGGAATGAAATAAATTTGAAAGGATAAATAAATTCCCGCTGCTTTTTGATTGCATCAAGTAAAAAATATTGTCGCAAAGAGTTAAGAGTCAGTGTAGCTGGGCAGCTTTAAAACGCCTTATAAATTGATGACCGAATCCTCACCCATATAATCAAAGGGAAATGTAAAAGATTGCCTTACGTTGTAAGTTGACATAAAAAAAAATTATAAAATACACTGTTCACAAATCTTTGACCTTTACACAGAGCGATTCGCACGAGGCGGTTTTTCAAAAAAGCCTTATAAATAGAAACTCATAGAGAATAATAATCAAATATTAATGATAATAAAAATATTAAAAACAAGACTAACGGAGCCGAGTTCGATTCAAGATTTCAATGGTTTTCAATCTCTAATTTTTCGCCCAGATTTTAATATTCAATACAAATGTAACAAAAAAAAAAATAACTTCCTTTTTATAAGCAAAAGTTTAAAACGTTAAGAGCATTCTTGGTGATTTCATTTCACATTTTCATTGTTATCATCCTTTTTTTATATCCTTGGGATGCAGGGACATGTTCAGTTTGTGCGGATGTACGCAACAAAACCAAAAGGATAGACATATCTTTTATTTGGAATCATTTTCTGAATTCTGAGTTAAGCTTGTCTGTTCGTCTAGCCATCTGTCTGTCTGTCTGTCTATCATGCTTTCTTGGCTTCCAACATACAGACCGCAATATGTGGGACATTTGAATCAATTTTGATTTGGCCTCCTCCCTGGGCGCTATTAAAAATGTTACCAATCGGACTGCTTTCCCGGACACTACTCATGCAACGCTTTCAAATGTCGTGATATGAAAAACTGAAAGAATGTATAGGGTATTTAAGTTTTCCTTATTTATGCTCTGCATAGTTTTCTTCGTTTAACTTAAGATCACTAGGACTTCACTGCTGCACGACCGATTTTTTATGCATTTCTCGCAATTTTTTAAGGATAATGATACTGACTGACGCAGAGAAGAATATACGGAAATCGTAAAGGGCTCCCATAGAATAATAATAAAATTTGTAATCTTCGGAATACCAAAATGGATTTTTTTTTTGTGTAGTAAAGTTTGTTTGTATTCTTCTGTTAGTAGGTGCAAGTTTTCAGATTGAGTCTTGAGTAAAGAGACAAAATTTACTGTTGTTTGTTTATTGCAGGCATTTCATTAAAGCGATTGAAGATTGCTTGATGCGCTGGGATGTGATTTCCATTAGCAGCGGAGAGTTTCCTAAGCAATTTTTCCCTTTTACTCCTCTTATAAGGCTATGGGAGTCTTTCAGTCTTATTTATTATCAAGTCTTGTCCTTGAATATCTTTAAGAAAGGAGAAAATTTTATTTTTAAATTTACAAAATATTGATCTGACAAAGTCCTACTACTCGTTTCTAAATACCATTTATAAGCATAAGCCAGTATAAGGGAAGAAGCAGATGTTTTATCAATACCGTCATTATTGCTCCTACATTTTTGAATGCCTTGACACTGAATGTTTGTCACAAATTTTAATTCGGTAAAAGTGATGAGTTATTGTCCTCTTTTTTCGATGCCTTTAGTCTTGCAACTACTCTGAAAATCTTCGGGAACATATCGTGACTCTTTTGGAACTCTATTTGGGATATTAAATTAGAAGTCTATGAAACATGTTGCGAACTTCCTATGATGACCACAACAGTTCTTGCCACAAAGATGTAGATAGATATAGTGTAACCAATTAAGAAAAACTTGCGCCGGTCCAGACCCTATGTGTAAAGGGAATTCCCTTCTTTTTGGGTTAATGCTGGATATTACGAAACACATTTTTTGTACGCTGGTCAAGAAAATATATATTTTAAATGAGCCTCTATTAGAAACACACTTTTCGACGTTGGATTTGGCAAATAGATAGACGGACATATAAATATTTCTTAATGATTTTATTGACCTCAGTGAGACATCAACCCTTTTGAATAGTTTCACTAGCTCCAACGACAACAAGGTTTGTGACTTTAACAATTTGAAGAACAACAAGGACAGGCTCATAAGCTTCTTCTGAGAAAAAAAGAAGATATAAGAATTAGACGAAAACAGTTAATATAAATGTTTCGTTGGCCCATACCTGTACTTGAAACTTGCTATGCTGATTTTTGTCACGACCATGAAAGCTACAATAACATGGTAGCAGGCGGATAACCGGCTAACAGTTTTATGCTAAGCGGGGACTGGCTAGACGGACTAAGACAAATACTGAAATCATTTTATTACCTCTAGATGGGTATCAGGATTGTTTCTCTATTAGATAATCAAAAAACTACTTAGCTAGCCTATCATAGAGTGGAAATAGTGAGTCTTCCTCTCAACTATGAACACACGTATGAATGAATGAGTGCTTGCATGCATGCATGCATGCATGCATGAAATGAATCTATGAATTTTAATTTTTGGCGAGTGCATAATAAATATGAAACGACTATTAGCTCAATACAAAAAGTCCTTGGTTGTGTTAAGATCAATGAAATCCTTAAGGTGCGATGTTGTAAGAAAAGGAAATAAAATAACGAAAACACTATCAAATTTAAGTGATTCCACCATTCTATTAACTTTGACGATTATGCCGAAAGTCTCTCAATCAATTGCTTTTAAATGGCAAATAACAGCAATTCTGTTATGAATTTTGAAAAAAAAAAAAAAAAAAAATCTAAATAACCTAAATTTTTTTTCATTATCTTTTATTTATGAATCGTAACTGCAAAAGTCAAATATGTGATTAACGGCAATTGAATGCCAACAGAATGAAATAAATGGGCAAACGTATGCGATAAGCCGGCAAATAAAAAGTTGTTCATAAATTCTTTTAACAGACTCCTGAGAAGAGGGTCAAAAGGACAGATGTTGTGCGGAAAGTTACGCACATATTATATATGTATTATGAGTACAAAAGCACATGGACATATAGCTATATATATATATATATATATACATAAGATTATATTGCAACATAGTAGAAACTCTCAAAAGTAAAATAGAATAAAACTTCAGTAAAAAAAAAAAAAAAAAAAAAAATTAAGAAAAAGTGGAAACATGACAACGAAAGAAGACGAAGGACTCCTCCCGATATTTTCAGTTTTTCTTTTTTTAATTTATTTATTTACTTATCCTCTTTATTTATTTATTTTATTTTTTTATTTTTTTTTTTTTGATTTGTATACACATATTTGTGTCGTATTGTAAAACTGAAGCGACACTTAATAATAAATTTGAGAATTTTACAAAATTTTCCAATAAGATTCTATTATAAATGGGAAAATTGAAAGCGGAGAACAAAACCTAGGAAACTTACCGTTTCAGTACAAAATCCATCAGTCATACATACAATATTGCTTTTGTGTTGATTCTTTTCTCGTTATTTTTTGTTTTTTTTTTTTGCTTTTTTGTTTTTTTTTTTTGCTTTTTTTATTCTTTTTCTCGTTTTTTTGCTGTTATGCCTTTTATTAAACAACTTTTGGCTGAAAGCACATTTTTCTTTTATACACTTTGGCTCTCGTTGCTATTTGCAAATAAAAAAAAAAATAAAAAGAAATGATAATAATAATAGGAAAAAATTCTTTTACGTACGAATTTGTTGTTGCTGTTAGTTTAAAACAACACTATATACACGCTTGTACGCACGATATTTAGCATTACATACATACAAATATATACATATATATATATATATAGTTATATATATATAAATACAAATATATATATGCGTATATATATACATATATATAGCGTTATATATATATATATATATATCCGTCGTTATAACCTACCGTCGTTAAATGTTTTTTATTGTACTTTTGTAATATAAGATTTTTGTCTCTTTGTTGCCTATTATCGACAATTACAACAATTTCACACACAGTAACACTCGGCTACAAGCGCTCAACTTAACTCAACTCAACTAAACTGAAATTGAACTGAACTGATTGCCTTTTTTCTGTCCGTTCTTGTAATTAAATTTAAAGAAAAAAAATATTACAATATTTGATTTATATATACATATATATTTTTTTCTTCTAACAATCCCGTGGAAATGTATAAAATTTCGTTTTTTCTGGATCTTGCTTTTGATTTTGATTTTTTTTTTGTTTTTTTTTTTTTTTTTTATTTTGTTTTATTAAAGTCGTCTGAAAAGCAAATCTCTCTCTATTTGGCTTTGTGTTCTTTTCCTATTTTATCTTAATTTTTATTTTTATTTATTGGTCTTTTTTTTTTTTTTTTTAATACAACACATTAGAGACTTTGAAAAAACTGAAACCTTATCCCACGAATAAAACCAATAGACTGGCATAGGATACGATTCAGCTCAGGAAGTAAAACAAGTGAATTCTTGACGATATTTGAAAGGAGTGTTCGTTACGACATCATGCCTGTTTGTTACGGCATATGCAACATTAAGAGCCTGTTAGAGTTGCCAAACCATCCATTAATTAAAAATGAGGTATTTTAAGGGATGTATTAATTGGAATGATTTTATGAAAATTCTAACGGTTGGTGAAAACTATAATTATATCCCTTAGTTGTTTAAAACAAGTATTGAATGTAATCGTTAAACATTAGCTTTTATATCGATGTAGCTAAGCATCAATTGAAGTCAATATTTAAATATTGTTTTGATTAACATTGTAACGTTTTTTAATGAGCTTTTTATTAGGCCATTTGTTGTCTCGCTCTTCTCTCTTCGCTCTTTGCACATGCAGTTTATTTGTCCATTCTGCTTCGCCAACCTATTTAATAATCATAAACGATATAATCTATTTTGCAAAATGTAGGATACATTTTTAATAAAATAATAAAACCAAAGGAAGGAAGCCCAAAGGAGACAGGTCATCATTTTTACATGAATTTCTTGAGCAAATTTAGAAAACTTCATATCTTGTTGTAGCTTTCTGCAGTCTGTGTCTTATGTTTTTCATCCCAAAGGTGCTTGCGGGTTGAAAAAGTTGTTGTCCTGTTTCGTAGTCAAGAGGGATTGAGGGATTTCTGACAATTTCCTTGCGATGGAAGGGGGAGCCTAACAAAATAAAAATATTGGAGCAGATTAGTGGCAAACAAAAATTTAACAATTTATGCGAAATATCATCAGCAGCTCCTTGCGCCTTGGATCAGACACCTATTGGTGCTGAGTACCGAGACATTTTGATCTCTTTTCATTTTCATTAAACTATAGTATCAGTGTTAACACCAAAAAGTTAACGGTATGCCTGTAGGATGATATGCTCGATCTTCACTTATTGCTTACTTAATTTATTTTTGCCATAAATATACTTAGCTTCTTTACCGTGACTCACCAATTAACAATAGATTCTCTACAACCATTTTTGTGACACTTCGCTATACAAGTAGTTTTCCACATTTGAAATGAAATTTTCTTTCTTCTCTGAAATGAAATTTTGTTTTTCCCGCCAAAACCGTAAGGCACTAGTATTGTATGCTTTGCATTTTACATTAAATTATCAAACATTGAAAGCAAAACTGTTTTCTTATAAAGGTTCTGGTGGCACGTTGCGAACATTACGGTGTTTTTCAAACGCCTAATGCTGATCATCAATTTTTATCAATCAAATCGTGAAATGAATGGGATTCGAAATTAACTAACGGCATGGAGTGGCGCCAAAAGTTAGATACTCAACGTGGTGCTGTTCTTGCTAATGAATTACGTAACAACGCCTGCAAATTAGCTAAGTGGACTGTTCAAGCTGTTCTGGCTGGCTCGGATCAACTTAAATTAGATTACGTGTCACGTATTAATTCTCGCGATCCATCAAGGCACGTTATCTTAGGTACACAGCAATTTAAACCCCAGTTGCCTCGTTTGTTACATCTTCTATTTCAACGACTGCATTATTGAAAACATTACTTAGAGTGGGATAGTCATCTTTAAAGTATTTCTCTTTTATCAGATTAATGAACTGGACCATTTGATCTTTGAGTAAGGAGCAAAGACGTACACAAACTAATTCAGGTGCTCCATCTTCAATTAATTCAATACTACTATTGGAGACGGATTGTTGATTTTCGATAACCTTGATCAAGGAGCAGTTAGTCTCCGCATTTGTAACATCTAAGGAACATAAGGAGCACCCATTATCGTTTTCATTGCACGAAAAATTACCAGAATCATCTTGAGAAGATGAAGGGGTATACCACCGCCCTAAACCAAAAAAAAAAAAATGAAAGTTTCAAACATAATTTTTCAAACACAAAAATTTTAAACCTTTGCAGTCGAAGCTTTTTTTCATTCGTATTGCAATCCGCGAGCCGCGATCGTCATTTGTCACCAAACTATTTACAATGTCGCCGTAGTGGAGCCCTCGAGTTTGAAGAGCAATTTAAAATTGCTCCGCTCCGGACCCCTCGAAAGTGCAAAGGGTTAATATTAATTTGTTTAATATTAGTTATTTATTTAAAAGTAAAACCGCTTAAAATTGTTCTTAAATTCTTTAAAAGCCTTTCTCTTATTAACACTATTATATAACAAATTTCTTTCTTAAAAGGTTTCTTAACAATACCACCGCATTCAAAGGCTGCAACGTGGACTTTCTATCTTGATCCTGTACCTATCTCAGAAAAAAGGTATTGATATGAAATTTATGCGATTTCGTCGATTACACGATGCTGAAGAAGATACACTGGTCAACGATTTCTCACGTCACGTCATACAAACATATAAAACTTGTTTTCTAAACTGGATTACAAGGAGTGGGATTTGTTTCATTAGGATCAATCAATATACTTATCAACATCTTCAGCTCGATTCAATATTATTCGGTTTTTACTACACTTTCCATCCAACTAAAAAGTTTTACAAATCGAATCCTTGCTACGATTGCATCAAACATATGAACTTACCATGTGTAGAATATAGAAAACAAATCTTTATTTATCTTGTTTTTTAATTTAAGTGTTTATTTTACTAGATATATTTATTTATATTTATATTACAATCACAGAGCAACAATAATAAAACAATACTTCTTTTTAATAAAATACAATGTAAGAACAAATTCAAAAATTTTTTGTAAATAAAATTTTTTTTGTTTTTGTAAAATTTTTTCCTGTAAATAAAATTTATTTTCCAAAATTTGTTGTTGTTTTTGTAAAAATTTTTTCTAAAATTTTTCCTGTAAATAAAATT